CCTTCCCTCCCTCCTTCCTTCCCTCTCTCCTTCTCTCCCTCCCTCCTTCCTTCCCTCCCTCCCTCCCTCCTTCCATCCTTCTCTCCCTCCCTCCTTCCATCCTTCCTTCCTTCCCTCCCTCCTTCCATCCTTCCTTCCTTCCCTCCCTCCCTCCTTCCATCCTTCTCTCCCTCCCTCCTTCCATCCTTCCTTCCTTCCCTCCCTCCTTCCATCCTTCCTTCCTTCCCTCCCTGCCTCCTTCCATCCTTCCCTCCCTCCCTCCTTCCATCCTTCCTTCCCTCCCTCCCTCCATCCATCCTTCCCTCCCTCCCTCCTTCCATCCTTCCTTCCTTCCCTCCCTCCCTCCTTCCATCCTTCCTTCCCTCCCTCCCTCCATCCATCCTTCGGGTGCGTCCCCGCGCGCTGCCGCGCGCCGCCGCTCGCGCCAGCGCCGCCGCCTCCCGCGCCGCGCCCGCTGCTGCCAGGGCGGGCGACTCCGCGGGCGGCGGGCCGCGAGCGCGGCGCGGTGAGGCGGGGGTGCACCTGTTGCCAAGGCCGGGCGGGGCGGCGGGGGCGTGGGTGACCCGGCTGAAGGTCAGGGAAGGGACGGAGGGGGGCGGGAGGTTCTGGCATTTGAGGCACACGCATAAACAACATTAACTTAACAGCGAGCACTGGGCTGTGCTCGATTAGGGTAATTCCGGTAGGCCCATTTGCAGAGGAAGAAACTGAGGCTGCAGAAGTCAGAGGGCTTTAGCTTGTAAAATCAGTGACTTTGACTGTCACGCCTCGTTTGGAGGACACGTGGCCCAGGGGTAGGGGTGCAGAGGGTGGTGCTAGCGCACTGTGGCCCAATTGCTGGAGGAGAGGTCTCTGGCAGCGGCTGTAGGGAGGGGTGAGACTGCTCTCAGGGCTTGTCTCGTAGGGCATGGTGATCCGAGCACAGGTCCTTTCCCCAAGCCTGGACAGGCTCTCCCATCACGCACACTCACACGCTCACACACACAGCTGTACCACACGTGCCTCTCCACACACCCCAGTTCCTGGGGACGGCAACTAGAGGTCCCTAGCGAGGCCTTCCCATGCAGGTAGCAGGCTCAGGCGGCCTAGGCACTCACTCGTCAACAGATCCTGCATCCTGCTCACTGATCCCCATGTCCTCCTTCTGCATCTGGTTTATCCATGAACCCAGCAGGGTTTGGAAAGGTTGGCAGCAGGCGGCCTGGGTAGGCTGGAGGCCTCTGGCAGGCAAGGATTTGGGGCCTGGGGGTGGATACAGGCAGTTGGGGGGGG